AAATCAAGCCAAAAATTAGGAGTCACGTGACACTTATCTTTCCGTTGAATGGCCCCTTTGAAGAGATTGCTACTGGATATGATCACACAAGTATCTGGGATCACAAAAATGTAAATTTTATGAAAATCCGAGCAAAATTGGATTTTTGGTGACAGTTGAAGTACATGAAAACGGGGCTTTTTCGTGTTTTTGCACCTTTGAGTGGGTGTGGCTGGCGCAAATGGGGCCATGGCATCAAACCACTTCAGGGGTTTAGTAGACTCATAGGGTACTCCAACATATCCAAAGGGCATCAAGATTTGAAGATGACACGTAGAGGGTCTCTCCTCCTAAGAAAGATGACATATCGCATGGCATGGTGGTGTAAAAATCGAAAGTCGCCAAGAGTCAAGCCAGCTTGGTGAATGGTTTCTAAATTTTAAGTTCTCTGTCGAAATCCCCTCGTCAGGTTGAGAAAAATGATATATCACATGACATGGTTGTGTCAAAATTGAAAACTCGCAGATGACCACACCCACAGGGGGTGTGGTTTGAAATTTTAGTTACTCAGTCGAAATCCCCTCATCGAGCTGAGAAAAATGATATATCACATGACATGGTTGTGTCAAAATTGAAAACTCGCAGATGACCACACCCACAGGGGGTATGGTTTGAAATTTTAGTTACTCAGTCGAAATCCCCTCATCGAGCTGAGAAAAATGATATATCACATGACATGGTTGTGTGAAAATTGAAAACTCGCAGATGATGATACAGAATATTACATCAAAAAAATAATGTTACCAGTTTGAATAGTTAGTGAATTTTATATTAAGGGGCTATTGGTTGCGGGTTTTGAATTTGAATTTTATGGTCTCAATTTTCCCTTCTTGCGATTTTGAAGCATGTTCACCTCCGTGTCTTTTTTTCAAGATGAAGATTCAACTGCATTATTACAATGTTGGGTTGTTAGAACTTTTTCTTCTTAAGTAAAGAAAAATAGAAATAAAATAGATGAAAAATTGGAAGTAAAAAATAAACATTCTTTCATCGTTGACAAAATCGAAATTCGGATCTTTTAACTTTGCAAAAAACAATCGATTTTTAGATGTAACAAAATCTTCATTTCGTAAAAATCGAGACGAAGAAAAAGTTGAGACACAGCAATTCAAATTCAAGACCCCCATACAACTCCACCTTAAGTCAAATATACTAAATCCAGAGGAAGTGTTACCCCTTATCAAGGCAACGTTTCTCTGGGTTTAGAATAATTTGTATTTATTTACAAATTTGGAATGCATTTTTTACGAACATCTAACATTATTTTTTGGGGTGTACACATACTTTATCATATAAATTATTCATATTTGCTGAATACATCACTTATATAAATACTAGTACTATTTTAACTCCACAGATTTTAAATGTGATAAGGATATTGCAACAGAAACTCTATTCTGAGAAAAGTATCAGCACCATCAATTTTTTCAGTTACGAAAAATCGGAAGAAGAAAGCCCAGATTATTCCGATAAGGAAAGGCCACTTATCCTGTACTGTGAAATGGAGACAAGTGTAAGAACCTTTTTTAGGAAACTTTATTCGAGACAAATGTTACGTATGTGCATTATACCTCGATTACCATATTTATCAGGCTTATGTTTCGAGAATTACATATGGGCGAAAAAATTATAAATACAGATATGTCCGTAAAACTTGTGACAATTCTTTTGAATTTTCCCAATATATTGTGAAAGCTTTATATAAAATACATGTACAGTCAATGGAACAAGTATAGGCACCACCCACGCAATCTACCTAAAATTGCCTATAACTTTGGAATTCATTATCAAATTAGCATGAAATTTTGTACACATTTAGTAAATCTAATGTAGTGTTCGATTGTAATCATTTTCCCGACTGAAATTATATAACCGTAACGTTATTCTGATTTTAATACGAACACGTCAGGTTGGAACCTGCAAAAAGTATTGGCACCTTATGTCTTAATTATTTGAGCGAAATTTTTATAACGATAAACCTCTGCCTTTTGTCACGGTAAGTTAATCAGATCACAAAATATAACTTTATCTGCTTCGTAAGACCAGATTGGTATTGTCTACAGCCAAAATTGCGACACCAAACGAGCTATTTTTGGCGGAGCAAGAAATAATCTTGCCTCCTTCTCAAACATGCTTGGATATCAAAAACTCAGACAGGAAACATGCTCCGTGATATTTACTATTCGAAATGTAGCCAAAGAACATGAAGCAATCATTTTAGTTCCTGCTTTCTTGTGATCCGGCTAAAAAAGCCGCCTAATCCTAAAATCAACGGATTAATCAAGCAAATTATCACTCGAGATCGGAATATTTCAACCTCCAAAATCATATTGAATTTGAGTACGAACTGTGGGGTCAACATATCATGCAATGTGGTGATCAATAAAAAATCATGCGTTGGGGTTTTAGGGTCCAGTTGCCCGACAAACGCGAGGGTCCTCAAAACGAAGAAGTTCAATAAATTGGAATGGGGTAAATATCACCCTAAATAGACTTTCATTGAGTAAAGAACGGTCTGCTACTTCGACATAGGCCAGTATTAGTTATTCGGAGCCAATTGAATGGTCCAAGTCTGGCGGATGCCATAAAAGGCTAACAAAAACGAATATGTGCATATGGCAGTTAAACACAGCGTAGGATCGATTGTGGTTTGGGGTTAAATGACTAGGTCGCGGCGTAGTTACCTGGTCATTATCGACAAAAGCATGACCAGGGAGGTCTTATTAATCATTACAAATGTCGTGGGGAGAGATTTCTCTCTCCCCGAAATAAATATCTTGGCAAGAAAGCCAAGAATAAATCAAATAAAATAACGAACCCAACCAGAAAACAGGGTCTCTCACAACATCGGGAACCGAGGAAGAAGAAGAAGAAGGAATAAGTTAAATTAGGTTAGGATTAGTATGTAAATTAGTATGTAAGTTAGATAGTTGAGTAAGTGGAAGAAAGAATAAATGACTTAAATACAAAGAAACACAAACCGGAGTTGTTCGGGATGAAATAAGTACCCCTAATTGACAAGAACACATAAAGAAAAGAAATACAAAGGGGGGTGCAACCCCGCAACACAAACCATAATTTGAAATCATTTGACAAAAACCTGACCTAGGAAGGAATTTCATGTTCCAAAAATGCAGTGACCCCAAACATGTAGCCAAATTAACGGTGCAAATTTTTGGAGACTGAAAAGATTAAGCTTCTTTCGTTGGCCGCACAGTCTCCCGATGTGATTCTGATTGTCCGGGTTGAGAAAAGAGGGACTGATGGGAAACCACTTGTCGAAAAACGACCTTATCAAAAGCGCGGAATAAGTTTTGGCAGCCATATAGAAAAACGTTATAAAGAAACTTGTCGAATCAATTCCACGGCCTATTTATGCTCTTATTGCGTCGAGGGAAGGTGCCACGTAACATTAGAAGCAGTGTGACGTAATAAAATTGGCGATTCTTTGATTTATGGTTTTATAAGTTATAGGGTGCCAATACTTTTTGCGTGTTAATTTTACATATTTTCCAACCAATTATTTAAAAACTGTGTTTATCCAATTTTAATCAATAAAACATGATTATAATCGAACACTACATTAGATTTGCTAAATGTGTGCAAAGTTTCATGCTAATTTGATAATGCGTTGCGATAAGTTATAGGCAATTTTAGGTAGCTTGCGTGGGTGGTGCCTATACTTGTTCCATTGACTGTATGTAGTATCCCGTCGACCAATGGACATATCGGATCCTATACGCACGCCACGACCCGGACGATTATGCGATGCAGGAATTTGCAAAACTATTCGATTGGTCAACCAACTTCGGCATTGGGGCCGTCAGTGCTAATCTGGTCCCTCACCTGACCAAACTAGCAGAAATTAAAGGTGGAAAATTTACTCCGGTAGCTGAGTGGTCAATGTTCCTGGGAAGCGAGGAGTTCCCAACGTTTCTAAGGTAATGGAGAAATTGATACATAAGTATGAATATTACGTAAATTCCTATGATATCTCCGTAACTTCAGAAACAAAGATCCAGACCACCTTGGAACGAACGAAATAGTTCTTCGTAAAATTCCATACCGTGATGCCGACATGGTCAACACGCACTGGGGTCTGCGCGATGGGAGTACGCTTGTTAATAGTGTAGAATCTCCGGGAGAAAGAGTCATATAATTTTGACATAAAGTTTTCAAAATTAAATGGGGCTCCTTGACACCACATGCTGCGCAGGTGGTGCATACTAATTCGGCCTTTTCTTCTATTTCTGTTTCCATTGCACCCTTGGTGCAAGAATATATAAAAATTATGATCTCTTTTGTCGGCTTATTCCGCACCTTTGGTGCAAAGTTGTCTAAATCATTATGAACCTTATTTTGTCGCAGTGATGCAAAAAGATGCAAAAAAATCCTAAAATTCTACACCTACATATTCCGATTATAATGCACCATTGGAACCAAATTATAGAGTTATCCTTATTTTGTGCACTTATTCGGCACCATTGGTGCAAAATTATATACATCCTAATTAAATAATATTGCAGGGTGAGCTACTTCTAACGTTACTACGGTTTATTTTGGCTTAATCAATAACAAAAAATTAATAAACTCATGACGGTGGAAATTTATGGATGTATTTAGGCATATATACATATATTGTTATAGGCATACTGATACAAAGCTTTTAAAAATTTAAGCCACACCTGTTAAAAGTAAGTAAATTCAAGATTCCAAACCATAGCCATAAAACATATGTAACTATCTACAGTATCTCACTTAATTGTAGATGCAGTAAATCCATGTGGTACATATATGTATGTACATACGTATGTAAATATGTACATGTTGCTTTACAACGAAATATGTAAACTCCTCTTTAATAATTCTTTTCCACGGTTTATTATTTCATTCCAACTTTTAATCAAATACGTCCGCTGAGAGATAAATGATAACAGAGACTGATAACCGTGGAGCCACTCACTTTTCTCCCAGACTCGTATTAACTGCGTAGCATTTAACCATGTCTGGCTCAACAAAGGATACCACGAAAAATAAAGAAGAATCTGAACCAGTGTATCTCCAGCCTAAAGATATTACTAAGTTAGCCAACATTCTTTTGGAAGATATGTTTCTTCTACAGAATTGGGAAACGTTATGCGGCCCACTTGAAATTACGACACATAGTCAACTTCTTTGGAGGCGAAAGATTACCGTCGGAGTTTTTACATTCCACGATCTAATCAACGAAATTCTTACCGAGTGGGTTGCGAAGGGGACCCGAACTGTACCAGAACTTGTAGAAATTTTAGCCGATTGTGAATTTAAAATGACTTCAGGTATGGAGATATCATACTTTAACCTATTAAAAACGTACAAATATTTGGTATATTTATATCTTTAAAGAAAATGTGAGGCGATTAAGTAAAAAGTAAATGGGCCCGACGGAAGATTGATGGAGACCAACCACAAAACAAACTTTACAAGGACAGAAATTAAGGAAGAAATGCATCCCTCAAGAACGACGATGCATTTGTACACATATACATTTATTAAATCTCTATCGTGTCTAGAACAAGATAATGTATTTATTTTGTATTTATATTATTGAATAATTCGGAGATTAAATTAGTGACGGTAACTTGTTTGCTTATAATAATTGCTTAGGATTAGCCGAGTATATTTATCGCGAATAAAGAAATAACCGCAGGAAAACAATGTAAATTTGAAATGGGTAAACAGAAGCTTTGGGCTGATTTTAAGATGCTTACTTCAAATCTTCAATAAATTTTCTCAACATAAATGCTCTCTTAAAGTTGACTACATATTTTCATTAATCTTATACTCGAGTCGTTTCGCTTCAATGTATCGTGAAAATAAAGATATTTCAGCTTTTCCTTTATGCAATTATCAGTTTTTTTCTATTTGCCATTTTGAATCATCAATGATGATCACTCATGTCCAGCCTGTTGCCACGCTGGTTGCAATGGAGAAGATATTTATAAGCAACATCTCCACTACTAACAATGCGATGGTGTGAAGTGTAACTCTCCGATTTGGATGAAATTTCGAAATTATGTGGTCCATGTCAATACAACCAACGTTTCTTCAGGCAGTTTATGCGATGGTCAGAATTTGTCAAAATATTTGAGGTCAAAGTTGAAAAACGGGCGATTTTTACCAGGCAGAGGAAGCAAACTCAACTTCTATTCTCCTCCCGTGCTAAAAATTGCACATATTTCAACCTTGACCTCAAATATTTTGGCAAATTCTGACAATCGCACAAACTGCCTGAAGAAACGTTAGTTGTATTGACATGGACCACATAATTGCGAAATTTCATCCAAATCGGAGAGTTACACTTCACACCATCGCATTGTAAGTACATTCAGCCTAGCCAAATGTTAAGCAGAGTAATAAATTCACCCATTACATGTGGCAAATATCAATAAATTGAGGTGCCTGTGTAAGTCCTTTATCGTTAACAACGAACGATATGCTGGAGCTGGCGACAGAATTATCCATCAACAAGATAACCTCTTTACGTACTGATTTATTTGCAGAAGTTAATGCACCACGCAATTGGGCTTCTGCATTAACAGCCAATTGAATTCAAGGAAGCTCATTCCGATATCAATGTGAATGACTAAATGAAAATCCTTACCTTGTATAAAACAGATAACTAACAAGAGCGGTTCCAGTATTGTAACTTCACGCAAGCAAATTTTCTCACTTGATTTTTGTCAGTTCAAAATTACCAACCACTTAAATTACCTTACTATATAATATCCTTAACTTTGGCACAATTAATCAATTTATTGATCGTCGTAAACCAAATATTCTAATTTTACCAGATTAAATTTAAAACATGAATACACCAGAAACTATTCCATTAATATCATTGAACATATCCAATGGCACTCAATCTCCAAGGGCACTTCACCAAAGTGGGTGCGGTAATGATCTCCTACCGCTACATAATACAGACCTGTACAAGGACGAAGCCTTCAAAAATAAAGTTCAAAAAATTGTGAACGACACACCGGATGCAGTTAATTCGAAGGACGACACAGGCCGGAATGTTATCCATTTCTTGATAGAAAATGGTATAAATATATAACATTCCGTTTATTCATCTCATTTGATCACCCCATTATACACGCCCTGCTCCCGTCTAATAATTTTCGATTACTTATATCAATATCTTTTCCATTAGCGAACGAGTGTGACGACGCTGTCGACATATTGTCGTTCTTCATCCGCAGCAACGTCCCCCTTGATGAGCCAGTTGGTAAAGACTTCTTATATCCAGTCCACCTCGCCATCCTTTACAACAAGCCAGGTTGCTGAAATGTTTAATCGATACGGAAACTAGCATCAGGCAAACCGAGCTACACGACGAAAAGGGGGATACACCACTTCATTATGCAGCTGGATTATCCGACGACAGATTTGCTGTCAGCTGTATAAATGTCCTGCTCGAAACCGAGGCAGACATATCACTTGCAATCGGACGAATCAATAAAGATGGATGGACTGCGCTCCATTACCCTGTACAGACGTGTAACATGAAAATCTTTGAGGCGCTTTTGCCCTTTTATGCTGAGGAACCAGGTGCCCCCAACAAGCGCGTACCCATACTAAACTTTATCTGCACACAGGACTGTAAGTACTAAACCAGTTAGAAACGGCACGTATATTTAGAGCTAGAGTTGATTGCGTCTCGCAAATTTCTTTTAATCGATACTTTTCATTACATATTATATGCTACAAACACTTATCGACATATTAAATAACCCTGAAAGGCCAAGGTAATAAGGCAGAAAAACCTGAATCCAGTATATTCGTCCATTCTGCCCTTGCGTTACGTAAGGAAAAAACCCCCTCCGTTTGTAGCATGTTGAAATATACACGAACTGTTTTAGTGTTTTCACCACTAACTGAACGGCAACGGCTAAGCAAGTATTTCTATTCAATTGTTGTCACAGGTTCCGACACAGTGCGCCAAGGCATGCTGATAAAGATAATAGACCGACTTCATAAGTCCAAAAACAAGTTCGCCTTCAATCATTGTTGGAATGATTTCACTCCATTAAAACAAGCTGTAAGATCCAAGAACGTTTTTGCCGTTGAAACCCTAGTCGCAAAATCTTACGTCAGGTTAACGGACGAGGACAAGTCGGGCAGGACTCCCATTTTTTATGCCGCAATGGCAGGTTTTTCTTATGATGGTGACAAATGTTTGCGTTCTCTCTTATCAAGAGGGCCGAACTTAGGGATACTGAGACCTGGCTATGACTTAGACGCAATATTTGTCAAGAAGGATAAATCACAAAAGACAGTGTTTGACTATGCCAGAGAAAACTGTCATCCGGATGCCATCACAATGCTATTTGGGACGCTACACCCTCATGGAAGCTACTTTAAAGCTAAGATGTATACATACATGGAGTAATTATTGGTCACTTTCACTTGTGAATCAAATGTAAATATAAAATTTGTACATTTAGGCAGGAAAAACGCTCAAGCTTGAAAAAGTATGCTACAGTTCCAATATTCATGCATTATTTGATGCAGAACTCGTTTTCGTTAAAAGAGGGTGGAACCCGCGGGAACCTTAGTTGGAGACCGAGGTAATCATTTCAAAGCTTGTAGTACAGTAAAATTTCACTTGGATTTGATTAAACCACGGCCGTTGGGCTGGTGGATTTGGGAGTATAGTTGTCGTCGGGCATACGTTCGACTCCACTAGTAGGACAGCAATGCTATTTTCTAATCGCACAGTACTGCTCGATGCAAGTAGGGGCCTACCCTTATCAAAGCCAAAGTCTATACTATGAACATGCCCCTCGTAGAATGTTTATAACCCTGCCAATAATCGCCCTTCAAACTGACAATATGTATATGTAAATGAATATAGCTCTGTCACCTGTAACTACGATCCAGAAAAATATATACAAGAAACTAAGCGAATCCGTGCCAGAATGAATTCTTGGAACAGTGAGCAACAAAAAATGGTAATGTTGCATCCAGCAATGCAACTGTTCGTGCATTTAAAATATGCCAAACTGAGGTACGTCACGTTCATTCTTCTAGTGATTCAGGTGAAGAAAATTTGAATAATCATTGAACTATGTGTTGAAATTATGCAATTCGACTTATTTTTAATCCTCGTTTCAGAGTTTATGGATTACGTCGTTGTGGTATTTCGTTTCGTTTGCACATAAGGCTGAAGATGCGAAAAGAAATGCGACCTGGTACTCGTTCTTCCTTGTCTATATAGTCTTCTCTACAGGGTACGAAGTACATGAAATGTGGCAGCACGGTTTACTACGATATTTTACCAATTTCACGAATTGGGGACAATTGCTACGAAATGGTTTTCTACTTGGGGCGGATTATTGCCTACACCATGGGCTGACTCCACAGGGAAGGTCATACACTGCGGTAAAACGAGAGATCTATTTGAAGATTCAAAACTTATTAAATACATATGTAGTAATTATTTCCAGTTGGGAGTTATTCTAGCTGGTGCCTTATCAATGAGATATTTCAGAAATTTGCATAACGAAATTGGTCACACACTGGATATGTTGAGACAGGTATTAATTTACTTCCAACCGGGTTGTGCCAAATACATACATCTAATTAACGGCATTTTTTCCTTAAGATCAACAAAATGTCGCATGTTAATTTAGGCCTTTGTACATTTACAGGTTCTAATGAAAGTCGCGACAGTATTTTTTTGCAACATTGTTTACATCATTAGCTTTACGGTAGCCGTGGGGCTATGGTTTTCGAGCAATAGCGAAAACAGTAAATCCCAAATTGGGACGGCATTGCGCAACCAGACCAATAGTATTGGCGGACGAGACTTACCGGTAAGAGACAACATACTTACCAACAAAATCTCATGGAACCATATAAATAAGTGCTGAACAATTTTATGTACCATCTGCTTCCCCCATTAGGACTTACAATACAACGACACGTCTGGAGTATTTCCATTTCAAGAGATTATAATGATGATGACTGGAAGTATCGATACAGAGAAAGTAAACGATGCCCTCCCCTTCGTTGGTCAAGTTGGATTTCTCAATTTCCTCATATTCATAATTCTAATGGTTGTATTGATATTTGCAATCTACAACCAACTAACTGGTGTCGCAATAGCAAAAGTCTCGGTAAGTTCTTTATTTACGAAACAAAATATAACTGTTTATAATATTAATAATATTGAAATATAATTTTACAAAATTGTAAAATTAAATAGGAAATGACAGAGAAAGCAGAAGTGCACCGCGTTATGTCCAAAATTGAATACATATTTCTCGTCGAAACATTGACTTTCATAATGTATCAATTTCTTTGTATAATTTTTCGATGCGCAAATAGTAAGACTCGTCTCGCGAGATATTTCCGCAGGCTAGACATTGCCTCCTCAGATAAAGGGGAGTACTCCGAATGTATCGAAATACGTTCCAAGCTGAATCCAGTAAACCATTCTATGAAAGATTCTATGAAAGTTTTTCTGGCATATCGGGAATTTTCCAGATGTCGGTACAATTTCGGGAAGTGATTTCCGGAGAATGCATAGACGTGCGGAGAAAGCGGACATTATCAGATCAAAGCAGACAGGACTGTTGAGTGAAGATCGACGATTTAGATTTGTTTATATCAGGGTTACGACGAGAGATGTAATATTGAAATCTAAAAAGAAAACGTGTCACGAGTATAAAGAGTAAAGTTAACTGTTTTCATATTTGGAACATGTGCTCATGTAGCAATTAAATTTAGGAATATTTATATCAAAGTCAAATTTACAGCATAATTAATTAGTGGAGAGATTCGAGGAGTGGTACTTACAAGTATATACCCATATCTTTTCAAGCGGTTGTATAGTTACATATGGCCTCGATGTATGTATGTACATATTTATGTAATAATTTTTCTGCAACCTTGATGAAAAGTCAAACCTAAATGTTGAAAGTATGGTTTTCTAAATATGTAAAATTGAAGTATAAAAGATTTGTCTACGCGCATACCCATTTTAAACATTTTAAACGAAATATTATTTGCAAAATTAGTTTAAACATACGTCGAGTAAATGGTAGACTTAAGTTATTGAACAATTATATACATATTAAGTTTAAACATTTTAAATAAAATTATTCCATATTTTCATCAACCTGTACAATTTTGGAGTTATAAATAAATGAAATTCCCAAATTATCTATGTATACATACTACATACATACATAGAGTAACACATAGGGCAATACTCATAATTATTCTAGAACTTAAACATCTAGCAATTTATAATGTATTTATGGAGGTTGATTGTCTTAAAACTTTTTATTTTGTTGTAATTATAATTATTTCGCAATAATCGTAAATGGCCAAATTTATGTAGGAATAACTCTAAAATAAAAGGCTAAAATGTTGAAAGATTATTAACCGTAGCCTGATTTATGGCAAAGATGGTGCTTCAACAAGGACCGTAATAGTGAATGAAATCATCGTATCGATGAAAGTTTTCTTGCTTGATTTACACATTGGGAAAAATCTGTGATCCAATATTCCCGCATATAACCCAAACGGTCTCCGTGAGATCAATTTCTTTTGAGTACGTTTCTTAAAATTTCGTACCGGTCCCTGTTTACCAGACTCAACGGAAAGTGTACATAATTTTAGTTGCTTGATCCAAATTTTGCTACCATCCCTCACGTAAGTAAACGGGACGAAAACAAATTCAACTATTGCCAAAATGAATATTGCAATCGTTAGGAACAGTAGGTACAACGAGGCTGGCATAAATTGCCATCCAATTATTGCTAAATACCAAGTAAAAACACCAACAAATTGCAATGCTGATAACAGAACGGTCATTATTATATCCGTGAATTCTTGACACGTAGAGAACAAGGCATGGTACATGTCATGCACTTCAAACGCTACACCTGTTGAAAGTCCACCGTTCTGTAAAATTTCAATCACCACAAGTCCCAGTTGTCCTACAGCACTTGGTATAATAATTGCCAGCGTTGCAATTCTATAGAGCTCAAAAGCGCTGACTGACATTAATAGATACCGAAGAATTGCAATTGTTCCCCAGTGATGCTTAAACATAGTTGCTGGTAAGAAATCCTGAAATACATAATAAATAGGGTCGATTTTCATGATAACTAGTGACAGCGTGCCAATAATACAAAAGTTGAATGGGAAATAACGGGTCCACATCAGCAAGAGAGCAAACCAGCCATCCATAAAGGTGCGACGTTTTGCTAACCACGATTCTGCTGCCCCGGAACTACAAGCTTTCTCAACGAGGACACAATTATCCCAAGCTGCACATCCTGCTGGACCGTAAAATGCCGTACAAATCCCTCCACAGACTTCGAATACCGCAGCCGCTATTCCGTAGACAAGCTGAATTACCGTAACGTATAGTTTGATGTTTGTCGCCTTTGCGAAAGTACGTTTCATGCAGGTATAGGCGCAACATAATGTTACAAAGAATCCGACGCCCATCTCGAAATACAACAGACGATTTTTACGATGGTTCCGACAATATACGAATTTTCTCTTTTTTGGATCCCAATTAATAGGGATTGTATCAATAGTTTGATATAATCTTGCGTAAGTTCTTAAACAGCGTAATAAAGCAGGAGTCTCCATGGCTGAAATATGTAGGAAAGTTTAGAGAATTGTGAAAACTTAACGGTTCGATGGCTTAAGCAAGAAATGCATTACTTTCTCCCTGTGGGTTAGCTACCCGATGTGGTAAATGCAAGTGGGTCGAGGACGAAATAAACCATAAATCCAACCTTAGTTTTTGAAGAAATAAATATGTGCATGTCAATATAGATACATACCAAATTGTGTAAATTGAGTAATTCTAGTGCTGAAAATTGATCTCCATTAGTTTGCCCAGAAGTCATTATTTCTTTTGTTAATATCATTACTTAATTTGACTTATCAAACTTTGTATAGTTACAGATAATGAGCTCCCATTTATTCCAGTAAAAATCCCGAAAATATTTTTAATTCAAGGCGAATTTAAGCAAATGTATGTCGTCCGGGTAATAAGGTTGTTAACTTTTTCGTTTGAATTTTGCGTATATGCTCGTGGATATTCTGCTCAGCTTGGTTTCACATTTACATATTTAAATTCTTCTAAATACTAAATAAGCCGCAGGATTGAGGAATGTAGTTCCTCCCAAGGTTCTTTGCAACTCGTGTTCAACCCGATAATTCAAAATAATACAAACTACTGTATGTAACCTACATATGTACATACATATATGTATGCGCATGCTTGACGTTAATTACTTGCATCCTTGGGACCAGCCTTCACTTCTAATTAAATGTGTTGTACAATTTTTAAGTCAAGGATATTGCTCGTAATTGTTCTGCACTGTGATTTTTTTTATTTGATGAAACGGCTACATTTAACGATTTATTGTTGCTTGGTTTAAAACATGGGAACAAATGGAGTAATCAGACCTGGCATGGGACATTCTCAGGGTAATCACAAACAAGTAAAACAGGATGAAACAAAAGGTTGTTTGGGCATTCGAATACATATGTTATTCCAGCACTGCATTGTACATACAGTTTGCAAGAGTATGGATGTGGATACACCCCATTTGGTTTATTGGTGCAATCAAATTCAAATTGTGTCGTAGAAGAGGATACTGGCGCTGTCGTTGTTATTGTTGACGCCGAGGTGGTCGATGTCGAGGATAGTAATTCCGTCGTGATAGTAGTTTCTTGAGTTTCCGCGGTAGTTGTAGGTTCCGAACAGGTGGGTAACGTCTCGTTTAAATGAATATATATAATTTGATTTCGAAAGTTTTCTCCCTGTCCAGCTTCCCCACCAAGGAAATAAATCCTTTCCAAAGATTCCACATAAACAGACGGGACATTGATAAACCTGTAGATGAATTAAAAGAGGCATAGATAACGTTTTGTACCGTAGTGAACCATGTTATATTCTATAACCCCACCTGTCTGGCAATCCGGTTACTGCAACTTCAGTTATTGGTTGCGTGGCGCAATCAGGATCAAAACGAAATAACTTTGACTCAGACCAGAGATACTGCTCGCTAAGTAAGATATAAATCTTTCTTGCATCCCCAGCCCACACCGCAGTACAGAATTTAGGAGGCGTGTGAAGCTCGATTCCCGTGAGTTCAAACATTTTTGTTACAGGACTGAACTTGAAAATCTGCTTGTTCGAGTTATGCCCATAACTTCCGCCAAAAATGTATGCCACGCTGTTGGCATTATCCCAGACAGCACAGGCGCTAATAAGATGTTCCGGCATGTCGATCATCTTGGTTGTGGCGTTGGAGATAGTCGAGAATCTGAGAACGCATGAATTAATTAAATCGTTTTCGAACCTTGGCACAAAATGAATTTAAGACCTGGAAGCAAACCTTAGGATTTCAGTTGACCTATACATCCCGCCATTGCTAATATACTGTCCGCCAAATATATAAGCGTTTGCATTGTTATCATACGTGTATGCTGTATTAAACAAAGCTTTGGGGAGAAGAGAAATAGTTTCACCAGCCGGTTTTTCTCCGTTGAACTTCCATGCGTCAAAAAAGGCAGAAGTTGTGCCACGATAGTTACTATACCCTCCAAAATGTAGAACAGAATTAGTAGCTCGATCGTAGGCTGCCGCGCCCAGGCCTACACCATTTGTCCAATCGTATCTGCATTATATTTTTTATTTCATAAAATCCCTCAAAATGTATGCTATATACCAACTATTTAATTACCTTCCAACTACTTCAACCGTATCCGTTGACAGCGAGTATTTAACCACTTGATTTGTAAACTGTTGTGAAATTTCGGATCTGTAATTTTGTCCTCCGACGATGAAAACACTGTCTCCGCCATCATAAACTGCGACAGATTTTCCCCCTGCTGATGGTAGAGTGGCGTTTCCGATTTCAACAATTAAGCTCTTAAATAGGTAGTAAATATGAGTGATCATAACTTCCTATGAACCTGGAAAAAAATGCTAAGTAAATCATTACCCCATCCCCTTCACAGTTGGTTTCATCAGAACTGAAAACAAATTAAACATACAAAAACGTGAATTGCTCGTGAGTAGATTTTTTTTACTAACCCATCGGAACAATCAGGTGTCTTATCGCAGACCCATGGAAGTGGAATACTACATAGGTAGCAAAATAACTTTATTAATATACAACAAAAAAATTATGAAAATGTTTTCACAGACCATTCCCCATTCGCACAAGCGAACTGCAAAAGCGGAAATACAAACATTTTAAACCAACTTTAAAATAAAAATAAACATGCTAGTATACTTTATCTTGTGTACCTGATCCGGGGAACAAGTAGTTTGCCCAGAAACCGAATAGCTAAGACACAAAAGTACGACTCCGAAGGTTCCGCACCCGGCGAATAAATTTTTCTCCATTGCAATGTTGTATTAAATCTTTGGAAGGAATGGAAAGTTCTCCATAATTATTCACTCTTTTATTCGCTTCTGTTATCATAATTGAATTTTGTTCGTTCGTCATAACGAGGAAGATAAGAACCCAATTGTGAAAGTTTGGAGAGAACATTAATGTTATCCTGTAATGGGTAACATCTCGAACAGGGAACAAAATTCAATTACTTTGTTTGGTCAAGTTTATCTCATCCGTTTGGATTTCCAATAATCCTTCAGAGACAACAATGGCCAAATTCGTTATATGGGAGACATAACCACTTACCTGATATTTCCAACATACATACTTCATAATTCTCGCCAATTAACAATTATAACTGTCCAATATTTCATCCTGTTTTCAATTGGGCACGTGCATTGAAGCAAACAAAGATGTGTTGACGACTCCAAATGACGTCCCAGAAACATTTTCAGGGAGTTTCCCTCCAAATAAGTTTCCAAATAAGTTTCAAGGACAGCAGCATTTTTGGCACATTCCAGTAATTAATCTTGTTTGTAAAAGTCTCCAAAAAAGTGTTTTTATCAAATTTGACACCCCCTTGAGTAAATTTTGCACTTTGATTTAATGTGTGTCAACAATTTTAGAAACGTCATTGCAGCTATGGTACGAATTTTTGTGCCTATTTTTCAAACCGATTTTTTATTTGGATATTAAATACTAAGCACAGGATTGTCATCAGAATCAGTCAGTAAATAAATAACTGTAAAAGGGGAAGAGTGAATCTAAAAATGAAAGCATTTGTATTTTTTGATATTGATAAAATGTAGGATTCAGACTTCGGATCATTTAATAAATTTGCATCATTGTCCATCAACATAATATGCGGCATAAAGCACCCTCACCATTCCTCTGGCCCATCTGTATTTATGCTGGCTCCAAAAAATTGCTTAATGGTGTAATACTAAATTGCAAGCTGGCATAAGTAATAACGGACAATTTGCTGTAATCATGTGAAATGAAATAAATACATGAAATTTGGAAGAATGTGGTGGACCGTAGTTTATGAATAAATATATAACTCATGTACTCGGTTGGGGACTGTGAGGAGTAAGGAAAGAAGTAAAAGAAGTAATAAATCCTGTAGCGGTGTGAACATGAATATTTTGTACATCATAAAGTTTGATCCACACGGGAGCTGCCAAAACCTTCCCAAAAACTACAATTTTGCTGTGTGAATTTCATAACTACACTATAACAAAACCGGTAATGAAGTTATTACCAAAGGGAGTATCTATGTGACTCTACCGCATGGGATTAATTTATTATTGAGTGGTAGAAAATTAGTTACCGGCTGATAATATTTTCAAATTTCGCGACAGGGGTTATTACCGGTTTGGTAGCAAAATGTGTACCACTCAACAATAAATTAATTACCATGCGGTAGAGTCACATAGATACTCCGCATGGTAATAACTTACAATGCGATGGTGTGAAGTGTAACCCTCCGATTTGGCTGAAATTTTGAAATTAGGTGGTCCAAGTCAATACAACTAACGTTTCTTCAGCCAGTTTGTGCGATGGTTGGCGTTACTCAAAATATTTGAGATCAAAGTTGAAAAAACGGCCGACTTTTTTCAGGCAGAGTGAAAAAACTCCACTTCCATTCTCTTCCCCTCGCATTGACGTTCACTCCGAAAAATAATTCATTTCATCAATTTTAAATTTAATTTATTATAGAAAAACATTAATTATTCATTGCACATTGCACATGTCTTTGTTTTCAAATGAATTGGAAATCAGAATAACCAACGGTTTCGAAATGGAAAGTAAGTTAAATTTTTCCATGTTTATTTACGGTTAATGAATTTATAAATTAATGTCTGTATGAATTTTTAGTGCAAAGAAGTAAAAATCTCACTTATTCAATTATGAATTAAATTAAGCGAATATGAGGCGTGTTAATTCCGATTTAATAATTTTTATTTTGTTATGTTTTTTATTTAGTTTTATTTTGGTTATTTTGCATCACTGCTTATGCTTGTGTATGAAGGCATATATGTGAGTGAGAAACCAGAATAAAATCAATGCGAGGGGAAGCGAATGGGAGCGGAGTTTTTTCACTCCGCCTGAAAAAAGTCGGCTGTTTTTTCAACTTCGACCTCAAATATTTTGAGGAACTCCAACCATCGCACAAACTGGCTGAAGAAACGCTAGTTGTATTGACTTGGACCACCTAATTTCAAAATTTCAGGCAAATCGGAGGGTTACACTTCACACCATCGCATTGTTAGTTACCGGGTTTCTTAGAATGTTTATCTGGAGTCCGAAGTAGTTGCTCTGTCATGCCTGACACCAATGTCAGCCTTCATAAACACACGTGGACGAACTTGAAATGACAGACAACAGGAAATTGAGAAACTACTACGGGTTCGGGTTTAAGCATCAAATATTCCATCTTAGCATAATATAGTAACAGAAGCTAACCTGTAATGGTATAGTATTAATTATGCATAATTTGGAATAGTAATGTGGAATGTGTGCTTATATGTATTTATTAATGCAAATATTTCCAAACAGTGATAAATATATGATAACTTCTGTCAAATAATTTCTATCCAGTGGTTACGTATGTGCATAAAACATTGATAATTTCGCACGAGCTTCTGCCCCTCCTAAATTTTTAATGGGTTGGGTTTCACCGGTATCAATAATAGGGCGAAACTCTTACAAGGGATACTTCCGAGGTGTCTGTCTCGTTTGGGGTACCTACCATGTTTTTTAGAATCTACGAGGACCCTAATGAAGGATAAATTCATATTTGCGCCCAGCACTTATATTTGGCGCCGTGCCTTGGCGCCAACTCTAAAAATTCTCATTTTCGACCAGTTTCAAACGTCCATAACTTTCGCAGTTTCCGTGGGATTTTCAAAGTGATGAACTTCAATTGATCACAAAGGTTCAGATTTTCAGAAATGAATGAAATATTACAAATTTTTGAGATATATATGTAAGACTTTTTCGATGAATCTTAATGTTTAAACATTAAGGCATTAAGGTTTAAACATTAAATATTTTTTTGGTGAATTTCGAGATTTTCTTAAGAAAATCTCGAAATTTACCAAAAAAATAAAACAATAAATTTTCCGAAAACTTTCATTGCATACGAAAGTTTAACTCTCTCATGATTTTAGTCAAAAATTTGGAAAATTCGTCCAGCATTTCAAAAGTTAGGGCGGTTTTAAAATTAAAAACGCTAAATATTAGCGAATATGTCGCCACGCCATGGCGCCGAATATGAGTTTCGCAAGGAAATATGGATCAAGCATCCTTCTTTCAGGGTGATAGTAGATTCTAAAAATGATAGTGGGTACCCTGAATGCATCTCGGAAGTTTCCCTACTTATAACCAGGGAAACTTATAAGACACGGACTAGTCCGTGTCTTATCATGGTGTATTTAATCCTTCACGTATGTCACATCCTGTCTCCGTCACACTTGGATAATAAGCATAAATCCGGGAAAATCATTTTCGCTCTTCCTACCATATACATATATTGAGCTTTTCACCAAGAAATTATTTCACCGAACATACGAACCACACGATGAGCAAAGCAAAACTTTTTCGCAGAGTAAATCGCCATTTTAGACTGGTCAACTATTTTAAATGCGTGTTCGTAACAAAAGATAAGGCAAAAGGTAAACTTACCTTAATATCGAAGAAGAGTAAAAGGATCATTCTGGTCTTTGTGGTTCTGCAATGTCTCACCATCTTCACGAAACTATGGTAAATTGCCACCAAGGGGACCAGCCTTGCAGAAACTATTCTGGGAATTGCCATCGCATCTTTGACCATGATTCCACTCATTTTAGGATTTGATACAAATCCGGATTACGTGCAAGTTAAATTTCTGAATGACATTTTTTCGAGAAGGTAGTCCAATCCGTAAAAATTAGTTGCATGTGCACAAAAAAATATCTACACTGTGGTAATCATAGATATATTAAAGTATCGCAGGTGGTATTCTTATTGTTGCTCTACTTATGGTTGTGCTTATCGTTGTCGTCATTTTTGCTGTTTTTTCCATTGTTGTTCAATATATAGTCGAATCTCATGTTGCCCCGATCACATTTTTTCAAATGCCACTTTGAATTATTATGACTCCGAGGAAAAAGGATATCGAATTCTCACATTTGTTGCCTACTTCTTTGACGCCGTGGAGTTGGGTTACTACATGATTTCAATTATGCACGGACTACTGCCGATATTTCAGTTTTGTCAGCCAGGCGTAGTCAGCTCGGTTCTGTGATCCGCGAAAACGTTTCATGTCAAAATTACAGCCTTCTTCTTCTTCCTTCCTCTCGAGTCCGTAATCTCCGTACAGCTCGCGGTACGTGCGGGATTCTGTATCTTGACGGTACTCCTAATTGGGATTGCCTTCCTCTGGATAGAGTGTCGAAGTTTCTTTACTCGGTATGAAATGGGAACAGCTGATCAACTCGATTACAAAAAGGTTCAAGTTTTTGAAAAGTTTCTCAACGCATGCACACGAGATCGCATTTTCTTGAAGACTGCTTTTCTCATGCCGGCTTTACAAACCATCCTGTCTATCGCGACCATTAAGATGTTCCACCTGGGTCAGGATTTAGTCGCAGTGATGTTTATATGGATATACTTGTTGGCCTTAGGCTTTTCTCTGATAACGTTTTCTGCAGCGGCGAATGTGTATCGGTCGAGTCAAGAGTGGATAGCTGGATCTAAGGGGGCTGGTAATAAGACGAGATATGAGAGAAAATTTCATAAATCGTTGCGACCGCTTAGGTTACCATTTGGAAACAACTTTGTTGAAGTACTGACTCCGCTTATCGTTCAAGAATTTTGCATCAGGCAAGCAATGTCCTTCTTACTAGTGACGAAATAAATATTATTTTACAGATGAACAAGATAAAAAATAAAACTATAGTAGATGGTATTTCGAACCAATTGTTTTATTATAACTTAGCGGATCCTTGCTTGTCAAATAGTGGTAATCCCACGTACTGTCAGATAATT